AACTAACACAGAGTGAAGGATGCACTCTAGTTAATAATGTATCAATATTTTGTTCACTAATTATAACAAATGCACTACAGTAAGACAAGATGGCAAGAATAACGAAAACTGGGAAAGGTTAGTTTTCCTATAAACATTTTTTTCTAAAAAAAAAAAAAGCCTATTAATGCATACTAATTAAAACAACCCTTTTATCTACTTTAGATACTGAGGTTCAATGTGAGGCTTTCCTGAGAATGTACATTCTTTCAACAAATATTTGACAATCAATGGTATAATAGAATTCTTTAGATTAACAGACCTGCTTTCCAACACTGTCTTCATTGCCTACTAACTGCATGCTTTTGGGGCAGGTTCTGTGATCTGAGCTTCAGTGCCTCTATTCTCATAGCTTAGCTGAGTATTGATAAATATATGTAAAGCACCTAGCAAAGGTGCACAGAAGTGGTGTTTCTTTTCTTGCTTTCCTAAAAATCCTAACTCAGGTAAAGCCTTTCATATCCGTCGGTTCTGACTCCATAATTCAACCAACTACAGATTGAAAATATTGGGGGAGGGGCTTGGCAGAAAGGCTCAAGTAATAAAATGTCTGCCTAGTAAACATGAGTTCAACCCCCAGTACTACCAAAAATAAATGTTTTTAAAACTGGGGGTAAAAACTATCTGTACTAAATAAACTTTTCCCTTTCATTACTCCCTAAGATATATAACCACCATTTACACACAGCATTAACACTGTATTCTAAGTAATCTAGAGATGGTTTTAGGCATATAGGAGGATGTGGATCTTGTATGAAGATGCTATGTCATTTTATAATAAGAGATTGAGCATATGAGGATTGTGGCATGGGGGTGCAGGGGTAGGGCAGTGTCCTGTAACCAGTCCCCTGAGAATACCAAACAGCAACTGTACTATCTTGTTTCTGAAACAGAAGTACTAGTATCCTTGTACATCCAGCCATTGAACACCTCATGTCTTTCTGGAGGTCATTTTAGTATGGGGGGGAGTTAATATTTTAATTTGTAATAAAAATACTGCTATGCTGAAATAAGGCGGAGAGTTGCAACTATATTTGAAGATCCAACATAAGACTAAAGCAGTCTCAAACCTCCAGGGCTATTTCTTTATCATCTTCTGCTGCTGATTTTTCCACTGGAGCACTGTTTTTCATTTCTAATTTTGATTGATACTAAACACAAGTTTACTCCTCAGGCCAGTCACGGAACAGTTTGGCTCTAACGAGCCTGGTTACCCTTAAATTTGCAAGGACAACTTGAAATAAGATTTTATATTACACGTCATTTAACATAAAATGTCAGAATTAAGCAAATAAACCAAAATACCTTAAACGGAGATTATACTTGGGTAGCTGGCTTTCCTTAGGTCTTAGCTACTACCTTGAGTCAGCTTTATTCTTTTACTAAATTACGCACATTATATATTCTTTGCATAAACAGATTACTGCCCTAATTTTTACAAAGTATGTGTGTAGCTCTGTATTAAATGTCTCTATGAGAATCTCAGCATGCACAAAATAAAGCGCCTTACTAGATAAATAGGTAAGGACAAAGTGGTATGAGAATTCCAGACAAACACAAGGTCAGTTATAACAGCCCAGGTAAAGCACGTCTGACCGGCTCAGTGTCACACACTCTGTTCAGAGAGGATCTCAAAACCATGCTTCATGGATAAGAACATGGGGATTCCTGATCTGTAGAAAAGAAAACTTGGGCTTGGAACTTTGAAGACTTTCATGCCTGAAACAGGTAAGATTCGCTCTGCCATCCAGAACTAGGATCAGTAAAAGCTGGTAACATAGTACCTATGTACTATGTACATAGGTACCTATGTACCTAGCTCACAATCAGAAGACAAGTCTTCAATTATTTATCTACACTGTGATAGCAAAAATATGGTGTTTCTAGATATCAATTATCTTGTATGTAAAACTGAGACTGCTAAACTGGGTAATTTCTAAGGTAACTTTCAAATCAAAAAAGGCACAGGAGCAAGTTCTGGATCAATTTCTTACCATTACATCATTCTGAATATGAAACCAACTACCTCATAAAATGGTGAATTGTATGACTAATTCACACCAACAATTATTAGTTTTACATAAAGAAGAAAGTGGAATCAATAGCTAATTAAGAAGCCAAATGTCTATGAGGTGTGTTCTTGTAATAAGAACTCAAACATGATGTAAAATTAGTGTTTTCTATGATACCACTCATTGACTGACTACTAGTATTTAAGGGAAAATACTAATGTTTTCCTATCTCATCCATATTCAATATTGCTATTTCCTTAATTTTTATAAAACATGTAATTGTTTGAACATACTTATATTCCTTAAAGAGTAATACTGGAACTTTCTCCTCAGAATGATTTTTTTTACATACTGGTCATTATTTTTTAACCTTGGGAATAAAGGATTCCCAAATTGCCATGTTTTATAAAATTCCTTAATTTCTCAAACCGAAATAAAATTAGTCAAGCAGCTGTTTTCTAAGTGTTAGGTATCATTGAATAAAAAACAAGGCAGACAAAGCCAAAACAAAGCCAGGCAATAATCTAATCAAATATTTTCTCAACTTTCCATGCAAAGGGCAATACTTTTTGTAACACTCAGGGGTTAAGAAACACTAAAGACCAGGTATGGTGGCGTACGCCTGGAATCCCAGACACTAGGGAGGCTGAGGCAGGAGGATCATAAGTTTGAGGCCACCCTGAGCAACACAGGGGAACCATTTCAAAAAAACAAACAAAAGCCCCACCCCCCCAAAGTCAAATATGGGTCATCAGCGCTAAGCAGAAGTAGAAAATGCCTTATAAAATCGAAGATTACCAACATACAAATAGTGCTGTGTCTATGGACAGGTTTTTAAATGTATTCCAAACTCATCCAAAAACAGATTTGTTGTTTGTCCATTTCTGTATGCTTTAAGAGTTTTAAGTAAAATTATTTTCCTAATTCTACACCTCTATGAAAATGCAAGGATATCTGTTGTAGTTTACTTTTATATTAGACATCACATCGAACAGTATGAATATTTTTCTACCTATACCATACCTTACCTCTTGAGCAGTGATCCCTCTGATCAAAATTTCTGAAACCTCCGATGCGTACTTTAAAGTTCCCTAACGTTTTTACTGCAGTAACCTAATTATCTTAGGTATACATATTAGTGAGGAGGACAGGGGAACCTCCAGAGCACCTATGTGCTTATTTTTGAAACATGAATTATTCATATTTTAGGACTAAATTAATATGAAATCTTTTTAATAGGAAACAAATGAATTAAAAATAACTTGCTTAGTATATCTAAGCACCAACATTCTGCTCAACTGTTTCCTAATATAGCAAAGAAAAATAAGATCGGTGCACATATTCATAGTAAGCTATAAAGTCAGTACTCTGTAATCATCTGGATTGTGACCATTTTAAACAGAAGTTACAAAAAAGAAATTCTTCCCCCCATCCCCTCAAAAACCCCAATCTTTGTTTCCTCAGATCAAAACAGATTTTTTATACTATAGATAATCCAATCAATGATGGTGAGACCATAAGCTTATGTTCTTATACACCTTGAAGATACAATGGTAGGCCAAGTTCAACATTCTATAATATTTTATTTTGAAGGCTACTGACAGTGTAGGAAGAGTCCGTGTAAGAAAACTTAATTAAAACTTTCATTTTACCATTATCTTTGTAATTCTTTTGAAGTTTCTGACTTAGGATATTTTTTATCTCCCACCTCTGCCCCACCATTTACACACACATAGGAAAGGCTTTTATATATTACATTCACATAAAATATAGCCTTCCACTAATATTGTATCTATAAACCTTTTAATGGCTGTAATTCTACAAATAAAAATTTTGTCCATAGAAACTTTAACTCATCTTTTCCAAACTTACCAGATTAACAAAGTCACAAATTTAGGTTTTCTCTCCCTTGTCCCCAATATTGTAGCAACTCCAAATTGTAATTTTCATTTCTTTCAGAGTGTAATTTCTTTGAGCCAAATTATTTCATTTTAAGTGACAGATTATTATTAACTCAATTTTTATCTCTCTCCTAGGACCCCATCTTAATGTCTATTTTAAAGTCTGGAAGTCCACTTCTTATATAACTTTTCTTCAAATCCAACAGAAAATCCTCTTGGCATCTAGAGATTCTGCATAGAAAGGGTAAATTGTTCTAGTGGCTTCGATTATGTTTACCCAATTCAAATCATAAGAATGACTACAAACAAATTTTACCTTTTTGTGCTATATTGATAAGGGCAGAAGGAAGAGACCCTGAAGTCAAGATTTCTGTTTCTGCAGTTCTAATGTTCAACTGGAACATTAAGATATAAACCATTTTTCTTGCGAACAACCAAGAATTGGGTAGTTCTCCAATAAGCCATTATTATTTCGTTTTTGAGAGTAGAGGGACTGTCTATGCTAGTTTGTAAGGGGATATATTTCAATCAATCTAACCTTAAAAAATTTGGCCAAATATTATTCCTGACATTTACAAGACTGACTCAAAAGACTCTTATGATCAATTAAAGGTTCTCTTTCTAAAACAAAAAATTATAATGTACAGAACAATAGAAAAGGTATCCACAAATACTTAAGAGGAAGACACATAAAACTGAAATACACTTAAAAATACTCTTGCAGTTTTCACTTTCTACTCCTGAAACAGAAATAAGCCATTTATCAGTAAGTGCATTTTTTCATGGAGAAAATATTTATTAGTTTTCAAGTGATCACATAATACAAATATTACACAATCATTCTAGAAAAAAATTAGCTTATATTAATACGTATAAAATAAACACTGAAAAATATAGGACTGCATATTATGACACGAAGTTTTTTTTTTTTTAAATCTGAAAGGAAAACGCATCAAAATAAGCTTAAATCAACAAATCAGTTCACATTAATATACAAAAAGTTTTCACTTTTAAATAGCTTGTAGTGGCATGACGTAAATAGAAATGCACTTACATTTCTTTTGCACACTTTAAGGAACAGAGCTAAAAATTTAATTAAAGCATGAGATTAAGAGATTAAATCACTTTCATCTTAAGGCTAAAACAAAAAGCTAATAATCTCACAGGCCACAAAATTTGTACTGTGCTTTAAAGAACTCAACTAACTTAAATTTCTGAACAACTCTCACTTTTAATTCCCTAAGTTCTTTCTAAAGTGTTGGATAGTTGTTCTTAGTTTATCTATGTTTGTAAACTATCTTATTAACATTTAACAAAAAAAGTCAGGAGCTGTTATTATTTGTGGGAATTCAGAGCTCTCTGGGGGAAATTTTAGTTCAAATTGATCTTTTAAACTTACTTTGAAGTACTACATTTATGAAAATTTATTTGTAATTAATGAGGAAAAAAACATCATAGCCAGGAAAGAGTAAAGGCCAGGTTATAGTTTAGCAAATGTGGCTTCTAAAACCTTTGAGATTCTTAAAATATTTTAGTTGCTTCTGTATTAGCGACTGGAGAATTTCTCTTAAAATTTTGCCAAAATAAACTGGCAGCACCATATAACTTCTAAAATTTTCTTTTAATAGCTTTTGACTGACCAGTTGATACCCAAAAAATGAACATTCTGATAACTACTTCTATCAAGTAACTTACAATTTGGGTAACTATTTTTCAACACTATTCACACTTATAAGCTTATTCTAATACTACAAATTGCCTTTGCTCTTTAAACTACTGCCCTGTGATGGTATCACTTAAACTTTAGTATGCCTTCAGTACAAAATACCACCTCAAGTTTAGTAAGTATCTATTATATTAGAGGACAGACCAAACTATTTTCATCTTAAAGACAGCTCTTTAACTGCTATACTACAATCTTTGTTAATTTGACAAATATTAAGGCTCAAGACCAGCAAAAGATGAGCTAAAAGAGTATGCCCTAAAATGAAAGTAACTGGAATAACTAAGAAATTCATCCTTTATTTAGTCCCTTGTATCATCAGATAACACCAAAAAAAAAAGTTTCATCAAGTTTTTAGATTTCCTATTCCACTTAAAAACAAACAACCAAAAAGTTTGCCTACTTTACTAAGGTGATTTTTCAGTCTCACAGATCTTTTAAGTGAAACAGATACAGAGAGCTGCTTTAAAAGAAAGGTGTCTCTCAAGCTTCCTCTATTTTTTCAGTCTTCTCAATAGAAAGGGTATTTTCATGGCCATGTAAAAGATAATTTCATTATTTGAGCCTTTCCATTTTCAGACCAAGAGTAACCAGAGTAAATCTTAAAAAGTTTATAAATAACAAGATCAGGTGGCTCGCTCATCCTTGTGTCTTCTAGATATATTGCATGGATCCATTCACCACTGCCTTCCAAACTGCAGGTGCTGGCATGTGTGACAGATATCATCCATGAAGGTTCTGCTAGAAGAATCCTTTTGCTGAAGAAGTATGATGTTTAATCAGTTGAAAGAAATCTGGGCAATTAAGAGAACAAATAAACCAGTCTCCCATTATCAAGATACCTGGAGTCACAGAAGGAATCCACCAAGGAAAAATGAAAACTTGCCAAAGACACTAAGTTCACATTCTACCCATTGTAGATGATAAGAACTTCCTGGAATCAAATCCTACCCTTGGCATCAAAGAAACTAAGAGAAAACCATCTTAATGCCACAGGGAAAATCTGGCAAAGGCTCTTTTGTCACAAATAGGGACTAGAAAACCACTTTTGAGTATATATAGCTTTCAGGGATATTATATCCTGAAACTTATACTCATTCACATATATTTTATTAAAGAATGAAGCCTATAGATTTGACAGTAAAACCAAAATAGATCTAAAATGAAGGCCTAACATTTGAGGTAGGAAAAAGACCAAAAAGTTCTCACTAACAGGGTAGGATAACATCTGGACATTTGACTTTATAAATTAAAAGATTTCAGATGTCCAGCTTGCCCAAAGATGAAATATAGAACTCTTACTGGAATATAAAAAAACACTTAGAAGTCCACTATTACCATAAAAGCCAAAATGGGTAAATATTTCCTTTCTTAAATTCCTGTGGACTACACAGGCATTCACCAAATCATGTGCCCCAAATCATCCACTGCTTTAATTATCTGGAGAGAAAATTAAATAAAAACTTTTTTTGAATGGGCACTAGTTAGTACTCTCAGAAAACAGATTGCAGCCCCACCTGGTTCATATATGAACCCAAGGAGTTAACAACAGAATAAAATGGGAATGGAAGGACACTCCAACCTATAAACAAACCCAAGTAAATAATGGAAAGCACCCACTTGTTTATTATCCTTCCCACTCTCTCCAGAAGCTGGATATTCTGCCTCCAAGGGTTCAGTGGAGAAAGTGGACCCCTGACGTCAAAAGCTCTCCGTAGTCTTGGCTGTATCTGTGGTTCTAGGATCACTCCTTGCACCTCTGGTAGGAGAGAAGCACTGAAATAGAGAGCTGAATATAGATTTAAGAAAAACTTCTTATTAAGAAATAACATTCTCTGGTCATTTGAGTTTGTAATGGCTTATCCTTAGAACAAAAAGAAGCTATCTTTGGGCATACTTTCTTAAGTGCCTTCTTAATTTGAATTTTTGAAGTCTGTTACCACAAATGATTAATTCCTTAGTAGCTATTAAGAAGGGGCCTGTGTTAGTCTAAGCCATAACACACTCTGATAAACCAACTCAACTTCAAGTGGAAGACCGAAGCAAAAAATAATAAATTATGACTGGAAACAAGATCACAGTAGTCTTAAAGGGAGAGGAAAAAGCACTCAACCACAGATATATCAAAGGAGTCCCAGTTAATTCTTCTTTCAAAGAGAAGATGATGAATTGAAAAGTAGAAACAGAATAATCAAGCATTAACAGGAATAGTACTAAACTTTGGGAATGTCTAAGAAGCTGAATTAATCAGTTTTCAAGTCTTCAGTAATTTAAAGAATTAATCATACTACAGGCCAATATCATAGCAATACAAGGCTAAGCTTGCATTTTGTCAAAGCTATCAATACTGTCACTGAAAAATGTTATTCTTCAAGCATTCATCTTTGAAACTGGGAGGGCAGAATAGTGGACATAGGTAACATAGATTTAAAATCTTTTTAAAATGCATGATCATTTCATTTTGGGTCAAGATGAACTAAGAATAATCATTAACAGCTACAATGTAGAAATTAAAGCAGTAAGATATACCAAACAATAGATGATGGGAAAGACACTGGAAAATAGTTAGCTTTATTACAGGAATAAGGTAAACGGAGAGAAGGAAGTTCAAAGCACATAGCATGTGATCAAGGAAAAGCTGAGAGAGTAAGAGAGGCAGATATGTATTTAAAGTCACAGGGATTATAGGATAAATTTTTAACAGTGTTGCCTCAGGAAAATGGATCTATATATAATTACACTTTGTGGTACATAATGATATACATCCCTAGTAAATTTTACACCTTACTCTAAATATAAAGGTACTGCATCCTTACTCTATAATTACAGTCAGCTATAGTGTCCTATTTCTGGGACGTGTTATATTTTGAAATAAATTAAGAAAAAAATGATACCAAATAATCTCCCTCTCACACCAACTGGTCATCACAGATTTCCTTACCTGTTAGTGGAACGAGGATTGTGCTCTCTTGTTCTCTATCAATCAACCAAAGGTTATAGTCTCAGCACTAAGGTGGCAACCAATCAAAGTTAGTGTTTTAATGCCTTCACTTCCTCATGGCTCTGGCAGCCAGTTTGGAAACATACCCAAAGCTGAAAAGGAATAGTTATTCCATTACCTAACAACATTTAGACTAAACTTTTTTAAAATCCTAAAGATGAAAAGAGTGAGCTAACCCTTCTGCTTAGGAACATATCCAACTCTGTACAAATGAAAACAGTTGGCCTAAGTAAAGAAAACCTGTGAATTTAACCAACCAATCTATAATTTCCAAAAATTATAAGAAATCTGAAACAAGTCAAGGAGGTCAAATTGCAATCTAGGAAAGAGGTATCAAATAACTACAAAAATGCTTCATGAGCCAAAGCGGCACCTATATTTTTCATTTGAAGTTCCAACATATTTTAAATTCTGAAGTCCTTGATTTTTTGAGGATATTGTATTTTTAGGCCAGTGGGATTTTAGAAGGTTGTTTTATAGTATTATCACATTGAGGAGGTAGGTGAGGAGTGATGAAAGGTAAGATGCACAAATTATAAAAAAAGATTTGAACACTATCTCAAACAAATGTACTCTAATTAGATAGCATTAACAATCAAAAAAAAAAATAAGATTAGCAAAGTATTCCATAGCTGGAGTTCTTAAGAGATCTTTAGCAGATGAGAAAGTTTAAAATTAGCACACAAAGGTATCTTTAATACATTTGCATTATACTTATACAGTGCAAGCAGGAGTTACAAAAATGCATTAAAAACTATTACACAATCATTCGCTAGTCTTTTCAAATCCATTTTTCTTTCTTTTTTTGTTTGTTTGTTTGTTTTTGCAGTACTGGGGCTTAAACTCAGGACTTTACCCTTGCTAGGCAGTTGCTCTTACTGCTTGAGCCACTCTACCAGCCCTCTAATTAATTTTCTTGACAAACCATTCTTTTTTTTTTTTGGCCTTTTCTGGTGCTGGGATTGACCCCAAGGCTTCACGCATACTTCGCAAGCGCTCTACCACTGAGGTACATCCCAGCCCAAACCATTCGTTTTCATGAATGGTAAAATTTCAATATATACCATAGGAATTACTTAACAATTCTAAATTAATGAAATTTAAGTAAAACTTATAGTGATCAAGATAGTTAAAAATCTAATCAGAAATTATAAACGATTATTTTCCAAATTTCCCAGCTTTCCTCCAATTCTCAATCACAATACAGAAGGAACAGAGGTGAAAATAGAAGCAAAAAAGCGTAAGGTCCATTTTGAAATGCGAAATACATCTAGTAATTTATTTTTATGTTTGTTTACAAGCATGCTTCATGTTGAAAGCAAAAATCAGCTAAGAAATCATATATTGCTCAGATTAATATCAGCCTAAATTTACAACTTCTCTTTCTGCAGAAGCTTGAAGTTAAACACCTCCAAACCCCTATCACATCCCACAGAATGCATATTAAAAATACAAACTACCTTAGACTTAAAACAAATGTCCTTAGCTTAAGTTACAGGGCAAGTTAAATGAGAGTTGGCTAGATAAACAGATCCATTTATAAACTTCTAAGTCAGATCACTTTCAGAATATAATTCCTGTATTCTTTTCAAAATAGCAAAATTTCAACATACTCATACTCAGGAATGAATAAGCATACAGATTTTGCCAATAAAAAATATTTTGAAATCATTTAGGAGCTCTCATACTTCTCACTACGAGAGTTAAAATTTTATCAAGACTCTGGATTTGATTATGTACCACTTACACAAAAAAAATGCACAGGCACTTTCAAAATGAGGTTGGTATTCAAACAAGAGCAGCTTTTGTGAGAGTATCTTTGATGGAGGCTCATAAGAATGATACAGTAGGACCTTACCTAATTCTTACAGCATTCTTCTTCTGGTATTTTAAGAGGGAAAAATAAGCATCCCACTGCAGAACTAACATTTCAACCACTGAAGAGTAATTTCAAACAAAACCTAATAAGCAGCAAGGCGTAGAGGCCACCTCGAGTGGTGTTAACAGTTCTGTTAATCCACCAGCACATCAATAAAATCCTTTTAACATTTTCTGTAACTACTTAAATTTTTAAAGCTTCTTACTGGAAATCTAGTTACATTCAAGTAAGAAATAATAACACTATTATATAAATACCACTGAGAAATTCTTCTGAGATGAGTATCAAAGTAGACTATGTGCAATATTTGATCTCAATACTAAATGATTAAATGTGTATATATGGCTTATTAAACATTTCTAATATCAAAGAAAAAGGGAAAGCTATGCCAAATTTTTTAAGCAATGAAAATGGACACAACTCTACACAGACCATTTATCAATCATTCTTATTGGTTCTTAGGCATTTGTGTAAAGAAAAGGAATTTCTCACAAATTCCTCTAAGTGTCCAAAACAGTCCCAGCTGGCAATAAGAAGAAAAGAACATCTTTTGTAAAGCAGAGTCTTCGTATCTCCAGCCCCTGGAAAAGTGGTTGGCACACTAAATAGATAATCCAGTAAACATTTTACAACTGAACTCTACTGATCAAGACACAAGCAGAAAAATGAGAATTTTCTCAAGTGGCTAATACATAATGTTCTTTTTCAGAGATAAGAAAACAAACCATATTATTGCCAGAGCACTCAAATTCAAATTTTCAATTTCAAAAAGTGAGAGATCTTGCCTCTACACAAAATACAACTTAAATTACTTAATTAGAATTACTTGACTCTGGAGGGAAAATTTTTAATCACAAATCTTGTATTGTCATATGGGATAGATGTTGGCAAAAAAAAGAGATAATAACCTGTAACTTAGGGGATTGCATGACTGTGTCTGAAGATAAGCAATCAAGGAAAGCAGTTCCTAAGAGAAGTTGTAATGAAAATGGAAAAATCTAACATGTAGAATGTTTTCTGCTTTTTATGGAATGCTTTATAAATCTACGTGTCATCCTTACTTAGGGGCCAGGCTTATCTTATCCATATCGCTCCAATTGTAGTGTACATGCTGCCAAAGCAAGCACGTACAGAATTGTTAAGAGTTCACTAACAAAATTCCATTATATATTTTTTCATTCTTTCAGAAAATATACTGCTTAAAAGTTACCCCATTAAGATTCAAATATCAGCTTTTAAAAACAACAAGCAATGGATAGCTCACGCATGCATGCCTTCATGTGTTCAAGTCCCATTGACTACAGGATAAGATGAAGTAAAATAGATGAAAAAGAACAATCCAGAATACAATTTATTTTTAAAGCGGTTAATCCACTATAGAAGATAAAAGCAATCATACAAATCTATCTGCATAAATAACATAGGTTACTGAAAAATGCTAAATAAGCAAACTCAAAATCAAGATTAACCACAAAAAATGCTTACATTTGTCTCTGAGCCCTTTGAATGAAAAAGGGTTGTATACTTAACAAAAAAGAAATTAGTGAAACTAATTTCAAGAACATGTCTAAATTACTCTAACAAATATGTTCTTAGTTAGTGTATTTGTTAGCTTTCACCTTTCTATGATCATCTTTGTTTATTTTCTCACTATGAAATATTTGGCTTTTCTTAGGATAGACAGCATAGTTTGAAGTACATAAGTTATTTTAAGTGAAAACATCATATATGTGCAATATTGTTTGAACTTAAGAGTTCTGTGCTTGCTATATTCCCAGCCCTCTACTGTATTTTTTATTCTAAGATCTTGACCTGTGCTATACACCTGAATGCACTCGGAAAAAGTGAAAATAAAAGATTATATAGTAAGAAATACATTTATGTTTTATGAATTAG